CAAACCTTCTAGTCTTTGGATCCTGCCCATACCTTAAATTATATTAATTCTTCAGCTGTCTTTTTCTCAGCTCTCAAATGTAATTAATAAAACTACAGACTTTCCCCAGGTATTGCATTTATAAGTTCATGTGAGGAAGTGACCATTATAGCTGAGGTTGCCAAACAGTTTTTAATATAACCCTCTGCTTTCATTCATTCTGAACTTTCAACTTTCATACTTGGTTTCTGCCAGAGGTGGATTTAGTTAGAAAGATTAATCAAAACAAGTATATTCATCTAGACCAGAAGTTCTCAAACTGTGGTCCGCAAACTTCATCCAGGTGGTTCACAGAAAGGTTGCGGACCAATACTTGTACGGTAAGACTACTAATATTAAAATGAGTTGTGTGCTTTGATTTGTAGAACAAAAACAAGTTTATTAAGTAGTCCGCTGAGACCCTCAGCAATTTTCAAGCAGTCTACGAAAAAAAAGTTCGAGAACCACTGATTTAGAATATGAAGAGACTTAAGAAAACAATTTTTAACACTGCCATATCACTTCCAACTCTTCTCCATATACTGTGCCAATACCTACATTTTCACTGTAGTTCCAAATGTTCTAAAAATTATCCGAACTTCCTGCATGATTTATTAAAATAATGGATAACAGTGTTCACTTCTCTATATTTCTTCCAAGGATGGCAAAAAAAATTATAACCATTAATTTAGGTCCCTGGCAGATGTTCAGTTAAAGGCATGATGGGATCCAATCCATGATCTGAACAATTGTGCCCTATCGGCAGTGCAGTGGGGGGATCATAGTCCCAGCACCAGGCAAGTAGCAAACCGGGGGCGCAACACATCCAGTTTGGAGCACCAGTCACCTGACCAACACTCCCAGCCTCAGGAATGCATCAGAGTGCCTCAAAACTAAGAGCGCTGATCAGCTACTGGAACTCCCAGCCTTGAAGGAGCGCCAGAGTTAAGAGCTCCAATGTGCTCCTGAGGCTGGGAGCCCTGATCAGCTGCCAGCCTGGCCCCATGTTCCACTTTAGCTGCAACTATTTTATGTAAATTTGTTCCTTGCTTTATCACGCCATTAATGACTAAGTTACTACCTGAGGTTGATTAACTGGTTAATCACATCTTAAGTGTAACAGACATCTACCAGGGGCCTTAGCCTCATAATATTTCTTTGCAAGGCAGCTTAAGTATCATTATGCCCTTTTCATAGGTGAAAAAGTAAAGGCTTCTTAGATTCCCTGTCCAGCACAGCTTTCCATTGCAGGACCTTCCAAAACTGTTTCACTAGTAAAATGGTGGAAGACTTCCTTAGATGAGGTACCGGCAACAACCAACCTTTTAATTATCATGTCATAGCATTGTCTCAACTAATGCTCAACTATGGGACCAACGTGAATATCCTTTTTCTGGCATTTGTAACTTTGCCTCTTATAAATGTAATGCTTTACAGTAATTCTCTTAACACGTTTTATTTGCTGCAGAAAAAGACACAGCTTTCTGTGGTATGAAGCCAATTTCTCTCAAAACAATTAACCTCAAAGGTATCATCATTCCTGACATTCCACATCAGGTTTCAGGTAACGCTCAAACCAAAGGGTTTGACTGATAAATATCAACCATCAATTTCAACTAGCCAGTATCACTACTTGTAAATTCAGTAAAACAGGCTCGCAATTTGATTTTTACTTCTTTTTTTTATTACTAATTTAGGCAACATTAATTTCCATTATTTATAGTTAACTGCTTTATTTTCTGGATACAGTCCCCCCCCCCCCTTGTGGTCTACAGATGTTCACTTAATTGATGCTTAAATATAAAAAAGAAGAAAAAAACAGAAATCAAAAATTTACCGGTACAAGTGGTTAACATATGGAGTTACACCCAAAGAATTCATCCAGTTTCGGAAGGTCCTCTCTTCTTTACTTTCACCTATAGACATAAATAGCTGCATATTAATTTCTTGTGGGCAACATTTTAATGGACAAGGTTTAGATCAGTGGTTCCCAAACTCTGACAGATTGCTCACCACCAATTTAAAACAATACAACCTTAAATACCAGCAGCAAATTTTTCAGTTCAACCTTAAGTACCACCAGAAAAATTTTTATCATATAAAGTAATTATAATAAATCTGTTAACTGACAGGTTGTCTACATACCACTAGTGGTACACTTACCACAGATTGGGAACCACTGGTTTAGATCATTTATACACAAACTAGCAAAAGTTGCTTTGAATAATTTATTTGCTACCTTTTTCCGTGAAAATGCATGCATCTCTTTCACAGGAGTATTATCTCCTAGCCAAGGAATGGAGACAGTCCTGTCAAACATAGGATTTCAGGGCTCTAGGTACAAGGCCATGAGCATCACAGGGAAGTATATGAGAACATAATTTTCTGTGCAATTTCATACAATACCAAATAAAACATACTATGGATTGTATTTTACATTCTTCTGCTCTGTATTGAGCAGTAGGCTGTGAAGAACAACAACAATGCTAATCATCAAATGAAGACCACTGGAATTCAGTTTGATTGGTAACATTAAATTTGTTTTAAATGCCATTTTATTGTCACATGTGTTTTAGTGCACACATTGCCATAGTATCTTAAGCTCCAGTCTATATAGGAGGGGTGGCCAACCTGTGGCTCTTCAGAAGTTAATATGCATCTCCTTGAATCTTTGCACAAGCACACAACGTGACGTAAAGGCTATGGAAGCTGGTCACCATGTGCTTGTGCAAAGATTCAAGGAGACACATTAACTTCTAAAGAACTGTATGTGCCTCTGGAGCCGCAGGTTGGCCACCCCGCTATATAGCACTCCAGCATCTACTTCTGCATTCAGCAATTTCCCAAGAAGCATTCTGGAGACTTCTACAGTGCACTAGACCTCTCCTTTTCAATCTGCATTGCTGCAGACTCAAAAAGACAATGCTGATTAGATTTGTGAAGCTATTTTCACAACAGCTAAGTAAGTCTTACAAATTTAAGTGGCAGTTTTGCTTCTGGGGAATCCACAAAATTCTGTTTAATATGTCTGAACGTCAAACAGTTTTGTATTGTTCTTTCTTTCTTTGAGTGTGTTTGTTCAGGCACCATTGGTCAATGAGACATCTCTAACAGAAGGATTTGCTTCTCTGCTTTATTTTCTATGTACTACTTCTAAGCCAGGGGTAGGCAACCCCCGGCACAGGTGCCAGAGTGTAGTACTTGAAGGTATTTTGCTTGGCACACATGACTCTGGGTGGATGGTGGGGAAACGGCCGAGGCTACACAGCAACAGCAAGGACTGGGCCCCTCTTGGCTCCTCCGTCATTCACCCCTGGGGCACACCAACATCTTACAAGTTGAAGTGGTGGGTGGTTTCAGCACTCTGCCCAAAAATGTTGCTGACCCCTGTTCTAAGCTATCCTTCACCTTGTTCTCTGTTATTATCCAGCTTTCTTCTCTCTCACTGGTGTTAACATATTAAGTGACTCCTTTAGTAGTATGTAGTACTGGTAATACCTTACCTTGTAGCACTTTCCATTCTGAATGTCTGTTATACTGTTTGTAATTTAATACTGCACACGCCATTTGTTCCTGTGCTTTTTCGTAAATAGAACATTTAAGAAATAACAAGAAACATTTAGGCCAAAAAACACATGCCAGGAAAACACTATACTTCCTGCTTTACTCATCTGACCTATAGAACAGAAATGACATATTCTTCTCTTCCTGGCCCATTTCTAATTGAAAGAGAAATTCTCCACAAAAGGTGGAAGGAATGGCCTCCAAGAACTCAAAAATGGCATATTTTGAATGAGGGTTTCTCTTGCTATCTCCCTTCAACTCTCCACAAAACAACTCTATGAGCTTGTTTAATCAAGCTGGCAAAAAAAATCTCTCATTTAGTAATGCAATTAGGGCTGATTGGAGGATAACAATTCAATTCCATAGCCACTTTTGAGATTTCATAAAATATATTCTTGTTTTTCTCTGGAACAAGAGCTCTTTGAATATTCTCAAGAAACAGAATCTGTTTTTGGATTAAACTGTCAGTTTTTTAATGTTAGTCATTTTTCCTTTGATTAGAAGTGCCAAATAAGCAGGGATCCAGATTTTCTATTCACCATGGAAAAATGCAGAACAGACTTTCTCTTTTAAAGGAGAAAAACACAAGCATTCTTCTTCAATGGAGACAAATGTGAGAAGCAGCAGTTTTCCCCTTGTAGACTGGCAGAGGCATCAGTGAGGGGGCTGTGGCTTGCATGTGAGGGGCAACGGTGTATCAGGGCTGCTCAGCTCCACAAAGCAGGGGGGACAGCCACAGCTGGACCTGCATCCTAGTTAGCAAACGGGACGGGGGGGAGGGGGTTCTAAACCAAAATATGTAAGTATTTCAAATTGATTTTATTACAATGATTGAGGCAGTGGCAGGCTTCCACGCTGCTTTAAAATTGTAATCTCTGTCTCTCTCATATCTGTCCATCCACCTATCTATCCATCTATGGCTTAGCCTGTCTCTCCGTAATGCTCTTTAAACATCAATAGCTTGAAAACTGTAAGATAAAACATTTGTGTCTTCAGAGAAATTTCTTTGCTAAACCTTAGCATTTTTTTAGTGACCATGTCAGGATGATCCCAACTTCCAGAATTGGGAAACAAGTCAGGGGCCAGGGCCGTTTCTACTGAGTTCGGTGTGGTGGGGAAAACAGAGGGAGGGGCCAGCTGATGAAAAGTGAGAGCTGGGCAGAGGCATGAGGCAGTGGGTGGGCAGCAGCAGCCCTGTCCCGAGCCCCAAAAAGAGGAGGTGCCTGGGGGCAACATGAAGGAAGCCCTAGGGCGTGGGTGGCTGTTCTGAGGCATAGAGCTTGCTTGCCCTTGCCCAGCAAAGAGGCGCGCAGGTGGCAGCTGGGCAGCAGCATGGGCAGATGCGCCTCCAGCCCTCTGGATGAAATCAAGTGAAGGAAGGGACTGGTATCTTCAAATGTTCAGCTTATTTTATTAAAGTTTTTATAAATGTTTAATTTACTTAATAAATACAAACAGAAAAATCTGTTTGTTTTTGTTATTTGAAATTCACCTGTCATTCTTGATGGGCAAGTCACTAGTAAATCAATAAAACATTGTGTTCAACAGATATAGTGGCATTTCATTTTATCATGGAAAAACATGTATTTTGGGTTTATTAAAGAATTTGGGAATTCTTTTAAAATCAGAGAATATGCAATTTTTAGGCAGAGAAAAACCAGAATCCCTGCTAATGAGGCACTTCAGAAACCTTCCCCTTAAAGATAGCTATATAGAAACCAATACTTATCTGTAAAATGTTTCAGCTTTGACAAAACAGAATGTTGTAGCAAATATTGTAGGAAAAATTTTGTTGAAAATATTACAACCAGTTCCAACTAAAATTAGCGCTCTTGGTTAACTAGGAACTTAAAGCTTTAAAAACCCAGTAGTAGAATTAAAATTTTGTGAGGTCTTTCATTGTTCAAGTAAGGATTCCTGTTTTCAAACTATAATTTTACTGGTAAAAAAAAAATATACTGATTTGGACTGTATTTCTGTTAGCTCTGCTTCACTTCTTGTTAATTTCAGAGTGTTGGGAAAAGGGGAAGCAGGAAGGAGAATCAGGGATTCTCACAAATTGCTGAACATGGATTTTATGTCAGGATTTTATTTCCAATATTTTCTGTAAAAATTATCAAAGCTAGAAGGATTATATACTTTGTATATGCAAATCTTACATAAGGGCTTGTTTCTTCCCTAGCTAGCATGAGGGTAAAAAGCCCCTCATCTTGGATTAGAGTAAAAGGCAGACAGAGGGGCAGGTGGCTGCTGTGGCTCCAGCTCTGGTTCCCAAACTGGGCTTGGGGTTGGAGCTGTAGCAGCTGCCTGACCTCTGTCTCCCATCTCTGCTCCCCTCCCTGCCCTCCTGGCACGTAAACCCCCAATCTAGGGGGCACCTGTGGCAGTGGTGGCAGCAGGAGCTACTGTTGCTGCAACCACTGCTGTATGGCTGAGCCAGGGCCAGAGTTACTGTGTGCTTCATGTCCCAGGCTGGTATGGGGCTGGAGCCATGCCCACCAGTAAGCATTAGAGGAGTTGAGGGGAGAAGAGGGATCAGAGGTTGCAGGGGACAGGCAGAGAGGGCAGAAGCTGTGTGGGAAGGCAGAGGCAGCAGGGAGTAGGCATGGGGGTCAGGGGGAGGCAGCAATGAAGGGGGCTGCTTGCCCCCCTGCACCTGTCCCTCTGCTGCTTTTCCTCCATGTACTATTACAGGGAGAATTTATGACAATCCTCCAATAATTAGTTTCTATACAAGGAAAAGTATAATGAATTTATACATTTTCCATGTATAGAATCTAACTATTGAGGGCTCATCTTAACTTTAAAGTCATTTTCTATTTGGGTAAATACAGTACTATCCAAGTTGGCAAGCATACACTTCAGAAGAATAGCAATTACATATTCTGGAACTAAATCCCATTTTGGATTAGTAGAAATTGAAAAACCTACCAATCTTTTGTTTAGTTTGGTGTAACTTAAAATTGATCCCTGGCTGAAATACATTTTTAGGGACACTGGTACATTCCAAAGACAAGAGCCAAAATCTTCCAGGAAAACTTACTTAAGAAAGTATAGATAGTAAAGGAAAAATTAAGCAACTTCACTCACACTAGGAATCTTAAACTGCATGCTGAACACTGCCAAAGGAATCCAAACTAGACAAACAGGAGCAATAGCGTGCAAGTTGAAAAGTGCACTTCTGACTAGCAGGAATTCAGGAACTAAAAATAGCTCACCATATTTAATATGCCACCTTAAACAAGTTCCTCTCTCATGCAGCACAGAAGTATTCCTAAGTTTTCCAACTGGCTAAAAACTGACCAGGTTTTTTTTCCTGTTCAAAAATACCTTGTGGTCACTTCTGGGGCACGTATTCTGCTGTGTGGTACGGAAGAAGCCAACCCAAGGGAAACGCACAGAAATGGGGCAGAGAAATGAGCTGAAGGAAAGTGGCACTACATGGCCACCTCTTGCCTCTCTGAAACCACTATTCTATGCAGCTGAGGGAGGAATATCCAAGATGACAGGCAAAGAGGTCTGAGGAGTAGCTAATCAATAAGGTATAATTAATTTCATAGGGCAATAAAACTTCATACGCAATTTGTATAAAAAGTTACTACAGTGCAGAATAGAAGTCAGCCCCCCAGGGAGTTTGAGCTGACAATATGCCAGAAGCAACAGCTCAGCAAAGTAAAAAAAAAATTACAGGGGTAGGTGTGTATGAACCAAGATACAACAAGCAGGGCTTTCCTGCTTAGGCTTAAGCACATGCTTTCCATATACTAAGCCTCAAGTAAGAACTAGAAGCCTTGTCCCCTCTTGCTTTTTTTTTTGCTGCCAGATCTACCTCCAAAGAAAGAATGTATTAGAACAGCAGTCAGATAAGAGCTATGCAGCTATGAGGGACCTGTTTCTATTCTGTGAAGTTTTACATGAGAAGGGGACTATTGGGTCCTAAGTAAATACTTCCAAAGGGTCTGTCTGTCCTTCATCTATGTGCAGATCACAATGAACACTGAACATTATCCAAGTATTTGGAGAGGGGGACAGAATTAAAGTTGAACCACCTCTCAATAACCTAAACTAATGCTAATTGTTGCAGCAAAGGACAGGCACATTTTCAATGTGCTCTTTCTGGAGGAAAGTGATCTGTCACTGAGAGGAAAAAGAGGACTTTAAACAGGCAAATTAAGCCTCTCATGAAGCTGTATATTTAAAACCTTGACCATTTTCCAGCCCACATCCTTAGATTTAGATTCTTGAACCTGGAAAGGTCACACAGTGAGATAATTCCACATAAGAAGTTAGATGGCATTTATACAGAGTTGTGAAAGGCTTGCCCATATCATAAGGGCATTTTTATTGCTGTCTTCTCCTCAGTTGTGACGGCATATTAAAGCAAAGATAGCAATATAAGAACAATGCAAAACCAACCAAGAGGAAACACGTGGTTACAGTAGGAAAACAACCCAAAAGACTGCAGGATAGATGTTTATGGAATATAGAAAAGTACTAAATACAGTACCTATATTAGGAGGGGTCAAATCTGCATTTCACGGAGCAAAATAGGAAAGTATTATATATTATAAATCACATTATGAAAACACACCTATGGCAAAACTAAGAAACAAGTATCTTGTGTTTTATATAAAAATATTTAAATAACTTGAGAACAATACCATATGAAAGTGAAATCATACAGCAGTATTAAAAGGAAACATGAAGAACAGAACAAAACACAACTAGTTCTGATTTCTGGCTCAGAAATATTGTTTATAAAGGAAAAAGATACAGATAATAATTATATGATTCTCTTGTCTCTAGAATAGATATTAAAAGCAATGAGTTATGGTTACCATCACTTTCATTACAACATTGGATTAATTGCTTATAATTTTTCCATACTTCAACCATTTGAACTGACATTTTCCATACCAAATGTCAGCTTTAATCTAAATACCTTTAAAAAGTTTAACAGAAAATAGCTCAGCAGTTTCACAGAATGTGGTTCAAGAAATATCTGCTGTTCTGCCCAAACTATATCAGCTAGAAGTTTTAGCATCTCTACGTTTTGGTGCAGTGATGTGAAATTTGGCAGGGGTAGTGTCACAGATATGCTTTGTTATGGTATACTCATATAAGAGAAAGTCTATGTAAAACACAATGATGTTTTAGTATAACTCCCCCCCTGCCCACCACACGCTTTCTCTGGTCAGCATTGCTTCACCCATTGGATAAGTGTTTCTTGGCAAGCAACTGAGGGAATAGTACTGGCATAAACTACAAAGGAACCCACAAACCCTCATTTCTAACTAAGCCTGAGTATAAAAACTGTGCTCATGGTAATCTGACAGGAAGGGAAGAAAGCAGTTGAAGATCATTCAGGACTCAAATCAAGAACAGCCTTTGGTCAGAGCAACACAAGCAAATAAAACCTCTCCTTCTGATAACTAGAATGAGAGAGGATCAATTTACATGCTAATATCTGAAAAAACTAATAAACCAAGTTTTTTTTTATATATTAGTATTCCAATAGGCTTTGCCAGAAGGGGGCCTTATCTCAATCTATTTTTCATAAATTATACCTACTTCTGATGCTCTTATTTCTATAGGCTTACAGATTGAAAGAACTCACCTTCTATTAAATTGAGGTCATAAGCAGAGCTATCAGGCTTGTGTAGGGCTGGATATGTATTAAAGAGATTTGCAACAAAAGCCAAATTAAGTTTAGGGTTGCCTGCAACCACATCAGCTGGAGTAACAAACTGTCTGCAGCCCAGTTTGTTTGCTTCCTGAAGCATGCGTTCAGCTCTCTTCAGATCATTTTTCTCCTAGAAAAGGAAGTAAAACCAAGTACCTTTTTATTGATTTTTTGGATTATTTTTGATATCTCTGGAATCATATCTTCATATAGGACTGTGCATTATTACGCTGTACACTATAAGCAAAGGCAGACCACATTCAGAACCTAGATATTCATTTTGATCTCTACTGTAGTGCGACAATCCAGTATCTTGCTTTCTTCTGGAATATAACTGAATGCTACCAAATCCACTTGATTGCCACACTGATGTCATTTCAGGATGGAGGGGGCTCACAGAAAAGGTATATATACTTAAATGTAATGGTATACATGATTTTTACTATAATAATAAATAATGAGATCTCATTGCCTATGTTCAGCAACTCAGAACTCTAAAACACTAGTCTTCCCAGAAGATGTCACTGTATCCTTTGTACTTGAATAAACCCATTGTACTCAGAAGTAGAACTGATGAAAAAGGTAAGAGAGACTATTCATGGAAAATTTCCCTTTTGGCATAGAAGCATGAATATAAATTTTTGACAAAACATGAAATATTTCAGTTTCAGGTGCTCAGAGTTCTTTATTTAAAAAGAAAAACACTCCATAGAAATCAGACCATTTTCATTACCAAAAAAAGAATATTTGACTGAAAAGCTATTTTCTGTCAAAATTATTTTAGTGTAAACTTTCCAATCTTGCCTTCTCAGCAGCCTCCAAAGGAAGAATGTCAACATAACAACCTAAGATGGCCTTTTAAACATTTCTGTTATTTTGCTTGAAGGGTTTGAACATGACAGCACCCTCCATGTCTAATGATTTTTGGAGGGGTTCTTCACATATTTAAGTGTCATTTTATTCCAGGGATCAGGAAGAGAATATAAATCTTCTGCCTAAAGAGGCCTACTCTGACTGAGAAGCGGAACATAACCACGCAGCTCAGTTAGAATTCTTTGTTGAAGAAGACAAGGTTCCTTGGGTGAATCTGATATCTTTTATTAGACCAACCCAAATAGTTGGAAAATAATTATTAAGCAAGCTTTCGGGTTCAAAAACCCTTTGTCAGGCTAAGGAAGTTTCAGCAGTTGGTGTGTGCTCTTCCTGGATGGAATGAAAAGTAAAGAAGCCAGTGGCTGGGCTGGTATGCATACAAGACAGGTAGTCAGTGAAAATGTAGACTGAGGAGTCAATGGGTGAGAGACAGGCTGGGTGGCGGGGGGGAGAAGAAAGAGAGAAGGGGGATGAAAGTGGAGAGATACCTGGGGAGTCAGATGTCAGGCAGGTTATAATGTGTCATAAATCCAATGTCTATATTTAGTCCATGATTTTTAGTATCCAGGAGGTTGATGAAGTGGAGTTCAGGACTGAGAGACTGCAGAAAGAGTGGTTTTCTTGTGAGAAATGTGCCCCCACCGGTAATTGGGTATTTCTGTCTTCGATGGATTTTTGGTGTGTGTTCATTCTGGTGCGCAGTTGTTGTTTGGTCTCTCCTACGTATTTTCCATCAGGGCATTTGGTGCATTGGATGACGTATATTACCAAATCCAATGTCTGCCTATGTCCTTAGACCAACACGGCTACAACCTACACCCCTGTAACACTGTTGAAGAAGGTTTTCCAGAATAGCAGGCTATAAACAACATCCATGGGGCAGAGGAAAGGATGGAACAGGCTGGTTACAAAATATTTTACCTCTTTTAGTTAAAGCACAGTTCCACTTTGTACAGTGAAAGGTACATAGTTGTGTCTAACATGTCCTGGAATTGTACTAAAATCTTGAAGGCTCAAAGCTTATGCATCTTCCAAATCAAGCTAACCACAAAAGGAAATCATGTTCTGGGATGTAACATCAATGAGACAACATGTAAATCTTTGTTACTTAACGGAGACACAGTTTTAAATCTCAGAATACTTACATCAAACCCTGAAAGGTCAATGGGAATTTCATAATCTTTGTCTCCTTTGGGTGCAATCTGATTCAGGAGATGGTAGTAGGCTCTTGAATCCTAAAACAAGTAATGCACTTTTAGAGTATGGGCCAAGATTTACTCCTCTAAATTTAATATACTATTATTTTTATGGTCTCCCTCAAAGCCCATTGAAAACATTACAATGACTAATGCCACTTTCAATAAACTCTGGATTTGGCTTTTAGTTAAAATCTGCTTAATCTCTATGGCTACTTTTCTGGAATATTTCTCATAGAAGCCATTCAGTCAAATGACTATGAATAGGAATGACTGCCATTTAGTCAGGACAATGTTAACATAAACTCTTCTTCACTGAATATACTGGCCAACCTCATAGATTACAAGACATTTAAGGTAGCTGTTAAATTCTAACTTCATCTTTTGATGCGGATGTTACTACATAAGGTGTTCATGAGAAAGACTTAGAGATTGAACAATGGGAATTTCATTTTTATGAATCAGTTCAATATTCATCCTTTTTATGAATCAGTTCAATATTCATCCTTCATCATTCTCACTTTTTAAGAATAGTCCCTTGTCTTAATGGACCAATTGATTGGGACAAAACTGTGTACCAAAACATCCCAGTTAAAGAGATTCTATTACATATTTTGTTAATCATTATTTTTATTTGTTGAAAAGTCCAATATATGTATTTTGCTTCTGCTGTTCCCATAGAAATCAGGCACAGAGGCAGAGACAAACTTGTACTCCTGGTAAAAGTAGCTAATTTAAAAACGTTTTAATATATGTGCCCTACATACTAAAGGACATTTTGATTAGATGTGCTCTAGTTCATTAAAATCAAGTTAATATTTTTATTAATAGGCTCTTCAACGTTTTTTTAAAGAAAAACAATGGCTACAAAAATATTTTAATGGTTTATTCTGAAATAATTAGAAGGAAAATTACCATAGAGATCCACTCATTTATTGCCCGTTCACTTTTGCTTTTAAACGTGCTGTTTTTCTCCTACCAACTTAACGAAGAGTGAGCAGAACTATACCCAAAATGAGATCCCTCCCCAATTCAGCTAGGTAAAAAGAGACAATTCCCAGACTTTCTGGAAAGGGATGATGGAAAGCAGTAAATCTGTGAGTGGGGTTGTACTTAAAACTATTTGGGTCATTTAGTACAATTTGCAACATTTGTATTCTTGAACGACAGTTACTGTTTTGACCCATGTGGGAAGTGTTTTGTTTGCATTGTATATTCCTTGTTGATACATTGTATTAGCAGCTGAACAGGACAATGTGTGATCTTAAAATGTACAATTCTAGGATAAATTTGACTAACAAATTCCTGTAAAACGTGGATCACTAGCACATTCCTAATTCCCATCTCTCTCCTTAATTTCAAAACAGATTACATTCTGCCAATATTACTTTCATTTACTAGAATGACAAGTATATACCTTAATGTCCTGACTGAAATTGTTTATTTCCTGCCATCCTGCATTTGACAGGTGGTAGTTTACCCAGCGCAGCAACAGCTCTTCTGGGGAAAGTTTCAGTAACTGCTCCAGGTCTTCCCCTTCATTTAGCAAAGCAATAAGAGCTAAAAGCAAGTTTGAAAGAAAGCTGAATTATTGTTACCAGTGTCAGAAGGCATTTCATCGCACCTCACACATTTTATAGAACCTGACATTGTTTTCCTTCTTACCTTCATTTCTGGAGAGCTCAATATCAGCTAAAAGACCGACTTTAATGATCTGCCACACGAGCCCTAATACCAAATGTGGTCTCCCTTCCTGTAGATCTTGTGATCCAATGTTGACTACTGTACAGCCAATAGCTGATGCAGAATTCAGGGCAAGGTTTATGTTTTCCTATTGAAACATTAATGCTAACAAAATTAATATTTGTCAATATAAACACATTCAAAACAGCAAACACCAGCTTGGTTATTTTGTGGGCTTTTGAAATTGTAAGGAACAGAAAAATTTCATCTCAGATTAGTCCTTGTAATGCACTAGTATGCTCTGCCCAAAAGCAGCAGCACTAAGATGGGAAAAGACATCCTTTTTGCAGTGTGATCTAGCCGTGCCGTGACTTCACTGATGCCTAGAGATGTCACTGGGGCTGTCATCCTGCAGAGTAAATTCTCTGCCCCTCGTGGGGCTTCAGGAGCTCAATCCTGTGGGAAAAGAGCCCCAGATGCTGTACCCCAACTTGGGGTGCATGTCAGCAAGTGAGGGAAACTCCCATTTCCAGACATGCCTCCTTTGTTGGGGCATGAGAGAATCCCCCTGTAGGGAATTCAAGCGGCCGGGGGGGGTGCACACACGACTCTGAGCATAATGGGTACACCAGGACCTAGTGCTTTTCTCATTGCCACACCCCAAGGCACCATGTGCAAGCAGAGGGGGGGACTCCTATGGGAGTTTCCCCCCTGCATGCATGCAGATGCATGCATCATTGCAGAATAATTTCCCCAACATGCATTTGCAAATGCAGAAGGGGGAAACTCACATAGGAGTCCCCCTACTCTGCTTGCACAGCAGCCCAAACCCACAGTTTGGCAGCAAGAAAAAGGAGTTTCCCACACCATGTTTGAATCCCCTGCAGACTTAATATGGCTCATCCAGCAAACAGATCCATATGTAGTAAACCGTCTTGCAATTTTTGCTTACAAGGCTGAAGCGATCAGAGTTAAATAGCCTTTATTGTTGACATGACCGATAAACTTTATCACTGTATTTGTTTTTCACTATGACAATTGTGAACCTATGTACAATATTTTTTATAGAGTCATGATCTGATTTATCACCATATTTGTACTTGATTATGTTAATTCTAGGGGTAGGAATAAAGCTTTTATAATAGTTGGCCCCATTTCATTATTGTATTTGCACTTCTGTTATTTTCATAGTTGGTAGGGTCGGAAGGGACCTGAGGATATCATCTAGTCCGACCCCCTGCTGTGGCAGGAAAGAGTACTGGGGTCAAACGACTCCGGCCAGATGTTCATCTAGCCTCCTTTTAAAGACCCCCAGGGTAGGAGCCAGCATCACTTCTTTTGGAAGTTGGTTCCAGGTCCTAGCCACCCTGACAGTGAAATAGTGC